TGTTGCTTGGTGCTGGTCATTGGTTTCAGGTCGTCCGTATACAATTAAATTACCTTGATGACTTCACTGCTGTTTGACAGAAAATCCGTTGTTGGTAGAGTTCAATCTGCGCTCTAGGGGATTTATAGCGAAGCAGAACCAAAGATGACTCAACGAGTCTACCTGAAATATCACCCTTTTTATTATATGTTCCTATATTTCTTCTATAGGGTGTTTTTTTTTGTGGAACGTTTTCGCACCATGTTTACTCTTATTGATAACTCGCATCCCCAGAGACGCCGTACGGTGCGTACAGAAGAAGCTATTGCTACTCTAGAGCGTAGCATTGAGGAAGACCGAATTAGTCCATCCGCCAACGAGCACAGGAATTGGATCTGCGTCCATCCACTTTATGGAAGATTTTGCGGAAGGATCTTGGTTTGCGTGCTTACAAAATCCAACTCGTGCAAGAATTGAAGCCAAACGATCATCAAGCAATGCGTAGATTCGTCGAATGTGCCCAAAACGAGATTGCCGTTGTTCCCGATTTTCATAAGCGAATTTTGTTGGACGATGAAGCGCACTTCTGGTTGAATGGCTACGTCAACAAACGAAACTGTCGCATTTGGAGTGAAGATAATCCTCAGTATGTCAAAACACCGTTATATCCAGAAAAACTGACTGTTTGATGCGCTTTATGGGCTGGTGGAATCATTGGTCCGTACTTCTTCAAAAACGGCGATGGCCAGAACGTTAAAGTCAATGGTGATCGGTATAGAGCCATGCTTACTAACTTTTTCATTCCTGATTATGATTCATGATTTTCAACCATGATGTCCAGGAGTTGTGGTTTCAACAAGACAGCGCAACATGTCACACAGCTCGTGCCACAATCGATTTATTGAAAGACACGTTTGGTGACCGCCTAATTTCACGTTTTGGACCTGTGAATTGGCCTCCAAGATCTTGTGATTTAACACCGCTAAAGTACTTTCAGTGGGACTATGTAAAGTCATTGGTCTATGCGGATAAGCCACAAACGCTTGACCATTTGGGAAGACGATATACGGACGTCCAGATTCGACTACATCCGAGCCAGCCGTGGCGGTCATATGCCAGAAATCATATTTAAAATGTAATGCCACAAGATTATCTTTCGAATATAAAGAAATTCTTGTCAATCGAATGATCCATCGATGTTTTATTGCAATTTAAAGTTCTATACCTCTAAAAAAAAACACCCTTTATATTGTTATTACTATCAATATTATTATCATTATTAACGAAGAAAAACATGAACTTTTTAACTTGTTTACTACATTTGATTGCGTCTCGCGGTCGCAATATGGACTTGGCAGGGATGGCCAAGCTTCTTGGCCATCCCTGCCATTTAGCAAATGGTATATTCTCTTTTCTGTGGCAAGAATGAATAGGAACCGACGCGACAGGATTTTCTTACATTCAGTAGATAAGAATATACTGTGGTTTATCTGTTCCGGTTAACTCATACGACTGGTGAGGAAACCAGCACTTATCCAGATAACGCAAGTATGTACGTGCATAATACTTATAGTTAAAAGCGAAATATCTAATATGTACATATATATTTTTAGGCCGACTTTCATGTCGTTCGATTCTTTATTCACCAATGTAAATATTTTAAATAAACTTACGTGGATACGTGTATTCTTCCATTTTGCATCGTACTGTTGACTCGTTGCCACATACAACATCGCACAGATAAATTTGACTTTATTGTGAGTCGGGTTCGATGTGCTTCTTGAATCCGAAATTGACTTAAATTCGAAATGAGAAAAGTACTACGTCAAATGCGTTTTTCAAATTCTTTTTATTAATCGAGAAATTTTGAAAAAGTCATTCAATACTTGTTTTTCATTTGCACATAATCAAATTTTACGTAATTTGTAATGGGTTTCCGTTGTTTTTTTTCTGATAGATGAATTCGTGTATAAAAAATGAAATATTCCGTAGTGAAATTGTTCATTTATAACTTTTGAAAACTGTTCTTTGTTTTTTCAACCTTATCTCAAATAAGCTCATTAGTAAGAAAACGCTTGCCAAATATAATTGATTTATTCTTAAAAATATATAGAACTTGATTAGGTATAGTAATGAAGAGATTTTAAAGTTTGAGCAGGAAGGTTTTTGAATACTTCATATACCTAATTCAACTTGAAGGAGAATACTCCAAAAAAAGTGTTTTATTTCTCCAAAGTAACATAATAAAATTTTAGAAATAGTAGTGAAGAAAGTTAGTATTATTAGACCAGTGTGAAAAATATCGTCATTTCTCAGTTTCAATCAGGATTCTAAAGAAATTGTTCTTGTGAAACAGCCATGTTGAGCATATGTGAGGAATGGCATAATCAGTATATAAATGATAAATAAAATGATTACTCATCATTTTTGATAAAATTGTAATTCATCATTATTGATAAAATTGTCTTCGGGAGAGTTTTAAGATAGGTTCAAATCTGATTCGGATTCTGCAACGCAAAAAGATCATCGTTCTCCATGGTTCAATGGCATGGTGTCAGATTGCACAAAATTTGGGGTACCTCAAGGAAATGTCTAAGGTCTCTTGTTGTCTCATTTATATTTATAAACGTTATTGTTTCTTGTTTCGTCTTGTTAAAAAATACTCAATGAAATTGGATATATATGGTATAATATTTCGAATAGAAGATCGAATAAAAAGCAATAAATTTTCAAGTTGTTGCTGTAGAATTAACAAATTTTTCTCCATATATAAAGTTCGAAGAAATAAAATACGGATGAGTTAATGCGCCAAATTTGGTTTAAAAAAACTTTTATTTTTTCTATATATGTAGAAGATCGGCTATAAATCTACAAAAATTGTAATTCAGAATTAATGGATTGTTCCGAAGTTAAACGGAATTTGGAATAGAAATAAGTTTTTGCTCCAATTCGGATTGGAAAAGCAATCTAATGGAAAACAAGAAGGATATAAATGTTATTATAGTATTCCTAAATTTTCAGATGATCGTATTGGAATCTATAAAAATTCTACTTTGTTATTGTAGAATTAACTGATCGATCCCGATAACTAAAACCATGGAGAAATCAAATTACGGATTTCTAGCACTAAATGAGTTTCTAACAAAAAATTATATAAATGTGATTGTGGAATTCACTGACTGTTCCTCATAAATAAAATTATGAAGACTTCAAATTACGGATGAGTTTTTGCACCATATCTGATTGAAAAAAACATTTAATGCACGACAAAAAGGCATATAGGTAAATGTTGTTATATTATTTCTAAATATTCAGAAGATCGTATAAAAACCCACAAAAGTTCTAATTTGTTGTTGTAGAATCAACTAATTGATCTATTTATGTGCGTGACTCATGGAAACGAATGGTAGCTCCCACTTTCCTGTGAATTTCAGGGATCTTAATACAAACAGAGCGTCTCTGCCAAGAGTACAAAACGGAACTGGATCATTTATAATAGATTTTAAAGGCGCCGAATTCTCAAATTTATGTGAAATTTATTTCAGACACACGAGCAACTTTTATTCCAGATCTATAAGGAAATGCATTGGATCAATGTACGGAAGTATTCTGATGTTTACGTTTTGATTTTACTCATTGAATTCTTCTCAACTACTCATTAGTTCTTCTTCATTCTTCCACTTTCGGTTGCTTGTTTTAAAAATGTATTAAAAATTATGTAAGACATTTTATTACTCTCTACAAGGGTTCGTTAGTAAAATCATGACATTTTTTAATGTGCCTAAAAATCGTTATGACTACATGTTATGATTATATTAATGACCTGGGAAGTATTTTTGCTCTTTCACTAATACGAATAGAAACCTTCATCTGCTATCAATCATTATTATTACATAGTATTTTCAAATCTTACTTGGAGTTATACTTCAGCACAAAACAGTGAAGTTAGAAATCCATCAAAAATTACAGTTCCATTCATACAAAGTTATGAATGTCGAAAAAAAATTTGTAATCTATAGTAAAATTGAAAGATTTAAACGGTTAAAGTTCACAAAAATGATTCAATTCACTAGACACATGTTTGGGGCTACTAACCCGCCATCAAGATTTAACTTTTCAATTATTTTTGAATATTTTTTATTGTTATTAACTTACGATAAAAATATTCAAATTTTTATTTCACAGAATGTACCTGAACTTTTTGAATTTTTTTTCGTTCATATGGTTGACATTCGTCCTCTACCAACTTGAATAGAAAAAACATTTATTGTGTACTTATATGATACACTTATCCCCTTTAGAAATTTCTGCTTTTCACATTTCAATTCTTCGTCTTATGGTCCCACTTGAAAAATATTATTGGTGTTAAAAAATCTATTTCGAAACTAAATAAATTATTCCACAAATCGGAAATTCGTGAGGAAAACATTACTCCGAGATTTGGCTTGAGCTTTTGTTTTTTTAATTCGAATAAATTTTTTATTTTAGTAAGATTCTTCAATTCAAAGTGCGATTGAGATTGAAGTGATCTTATGAAAATTTAAATATCATTGGAGTGGAATATTTATAAAGTATAAGCCCTCGTAATGAAAATTAATTTCGTAACTATGCTGGCTCCTCCACCATTTTGTTTCGCCAGTTGGACAACATTTAGAAAAGTGCTCTTCTATCTCCTGGTTCTTTCTTCTGTATAAAAGATATCTTTTATTCTGAAATGTATGCAATGCAGTTTATGAATTATGAGTCTATAGTTATTACAGGTTGTTTTACGTCAGTTGCAAGTAGTAGTGGTGCTAGTTCGTTCCTCCCAAGACTATCGAATAATTTCATTGTATATTTTTGATTTTGGTATTTTTAGTGTGGATACACTGTACTGTTCAATATCTCTTTGTTATAATTGTGATATAACTCTGTTATAACTGTAGTATAGCTTAGTTACATGTAAAACTAAAGCGTAACTTTTGAAAAAACAGAAATTTCATAATACATAATTATTATTGTTCGAAGATCGGAGGTTACCGGTCTCCATGGTTTAGTCGGACACCCGAACACTCGACTAAGGTGCGGGAGAACACGGGTTCGAGTCCTGCTGAATGCATTGGTGTTTGTGTTTGTCTATGATTTAAGTTTTTCAAATATATTCTGGGTGATGCACATTGATTACTAGCCCATTGGCCGGAGCGGATGTCAAAGACCTCCGCTCCGATTGAACCTACAGTTTGACGCGGAATCCTTACCGCCCAAGAACAAAGTGACAATCGAACACACCAACATTAGTAATCCGATATATATATATATATATATATATATATATATATATATATATATATATATATATATATATATATATATATATATATATATATATATATGAACGGAAGAAAGAGGATTTTCGTATTCACCAGATTTGGTTCCCTACTACTTTTTCCTATTGCCAAAACTGAAGAAACCAAAAAGAGGAAAGCGTTTTGCCACAATTGATGAGATAAATTCATAATAGCAGAACGGGCTGATACCGAAAACCGAATTTCAGATGTGCTACCAAGATTGGAAGAAGTGCCGGCACATTTTTTTATTGATGAATAAAAAAATACAGAAAAAATTTAAATTTCACTTTTTCTTTTGAACAAACCTACAATGTGATAAAAACCTACGCGTTCACCACCCTGCATTGGATACTATTAGAGAAAATTGAAAGCTATGACATACATGATGGAATCATTAACAGGCTGTTTCGTTCTACGAGAAACTCATCAGTTATGTCTGGTCCAACGGTGGACAAGCCATAAGATGACTTCAATCTCCAATCATGTTCTCTCATGACTCCAAAGTGAAAATTGCCAAGTGTTGAATCCTTCACAATTCCAACTCCAACAATCAAGGGAAGACATCTTTCAAGATCATAGTAGCCCCAAGACCCAAATGCTGACACGTTCATACCTGTAGGCACTACTCTAAATTGCAAAGTCTATTTTGAAAAGTATTATAATTTCATATATATCATCGTTTAAGACTGTTACTAACGCAACCCATCGACGTCTAAAAACAACATATGATAATACCCATCAAACCAAACGTTTAAATTCAAAGTAACGGTTTTTTTTTTTAGAGGTATAGAACTTTAAATTGCAATAAAACAACGCTGGATCATTCGATTGACAATTTTTGTTTTGATAATTCAATTTTTTTTATTCGAAAGATAATCATATGGCATTACATTTTAAATATGATTTCTGGCATATGACCGCCACGGCTGGCTCGGACGTAGTCCAATCTGGACGTCCAATTTTCGATGACTTTTTCCAACATTTGTGGCCGTATATCTGCAATAACACAGCGAATATTGTCTTCCAAATGGTCAATCGTTTGTAGCTTATCCGCATAGACCAATGACTTCACATAACCCTACAGAAAGTAGTCAAGCGGTGTTCAAGATCTTGGAGTCCAATCCACAGGTCCAAAACATGAAATTAGGCGGTCACCAAACGTGTCTTTCAATAAATCGATTGTGGCACGAGCTATGTGACATGTTGCGCCGTCTTGTTGAAACCACAGCTCCTGGACATCATGGTTGTTCAATTCACGAATGAAAAAGTTAGTATTCATGGCTCTATACCGATCACCATTGACTGTAACGTTCTGGCCATCATCGTTTTTGAAGAAGTACGGACCAATGATTCCACCAGCCCATAAAGCGCACCAAACAGTCAGTTTTTCTGGATATAACGGTGTTTTGACATACACTTGAGGATTATCTTCACTCCAAATGCGTCAGTTTTGTTTGTTGACGTAGCCATTCAACCAGAAGTGCGCTTCATCGCTAAATAAAATTCGCTTATGAAAATCGGGAACAACGGCAATCTCGTTTTGGGCCCATTCATTATAGCTACCAACTTGGACACGAATATCAATTCTAAAATGAATAACCTCGGTTATTTCGAAAAATTTTTCGAATCTTCGAAATTGAAACTTACCCAGTTACTTAATCGCCGGCCGAGATGTAGATAATCGGGCGGAGATGAGATAAGCGTCGTGACGACCTGGGAGGCGTCCTCCGCCTCCAGCCGCGGGACGCCGCCGCCCCTAGGGGTTCGGGTTGCTCCGCTCCATCACACCGAGTTCTCTCGGAGAAAAAAATCGCCAGCTCCGGCGCCAGTCTGACGGGCGGCTTGGCCCGTCGTTCCTCGTAACCAGCGTAACAATTCATACCGGAGTTTACAGTTCGTTTTTACAGCCTCCGGAATCCGTACTTCTCCACGAATGATAACTGCCAAACGATAAAGATGGAACTACATCTCAGTAAATTTTCAAATGTAATCGTTTTCCTATATATATATATATATATATATATATATATATATATATATATATATATAAAATTGTGTACAAATACAGTAATCACATTCATTGGTTTCAAAAATCCATATGATTCAGTAGACCGCGAAACCCTTTTTGATATCATGAAAGAATTTGGGATCGATCGAAAGACCCGAAAAATTATAGAACAGACACTTACAGGTAGTACAACTTCCAAGGTAAAATTTATGGTCGAAATATCAGGTCCCTTCGAAATCAAAACCGGTGTGTGTTGGGGGGACGGACTTTCGCCAAATCTTTTCAATATTGTTTTAGAAAAGATCATTAGGGGAATGGGAACTTCACGTAAAGGGCATACAAGTGGGTAACAAAAAAGAAAATAGAATAAATGTCAAATGTCCCGCCTTTGCAGACGATATTGCTATCATCACAGACAACAGAACTGAAGCCATTCTCGCCGTAGAAAAAGTACTTGAAATTGTGCAGAAAACTGGGTTACAAATTTCTTATGATAAAACCGAATACATGGAAAGAAAACCAAAAAATAAATCTCTCTTATCACAAAACATGGTGAAATTCTGCAAGTAGGCCATTTTTAAGACCTCAGGGAAGTTATACAGTCCTCAGGTTTAAAACGAATCGCTAATGAACAGAGAATTACCAAGCTCCAAAGGGCCTACAAACTAACATGGGCTCATTATAACAAAAAGTGCATTTCGAGAGGCGCCAAATTGAAGCATTATAACACAACGATTTTTCCAGAAGAATCTACGCAGATGAAACAATGGTTATTGAGGGCCATTCAAGAATTACAGAAATAGAAAAACAAGAGCGGAAAATTCTCAGAAAGATTTACGGGCCAATCAATAGAAACGGCATTTGGATGAAAGACCTCAGAATGAACTGTATCAAAAAACAAATACGATAACGGAAGAAATCAGAAAACGACGAGCAAAGTTCTATGCACATGTCTACAGAATGAAACAGTCCAAAATCCCGAAGAAACTACTCGATATAATTATGAATAGTAAATGCGGAACAGAGTGGCTAAACGAGTTCCAAAAGGATCTACAACAGATCAATAAAAAAATTGTCGAAGATCGCACTGAATGTCGCTATAAAATCGCACATGTGAAATTTGAGCAAAAATCAAATCGTCAACCAGGAGTGAAGTGGACAGATGAACGGAAGAAAGAGGATGAAGCGTTTTTGGGAGGCGTAAAAAAGATGAAGCAAAATTCCTAATGATGCGAATTCAAGTTCAGTCGCTCTCCTCATGGGGAACAATCGTAATAATAATAATAAAGAATTATATAAAAGATATAAAGTTTTGGTGCTTATCGCACTGAATTAATTAAGAAAATTAACACAAGAACATTCATTTGAAAAATTCAAATTTTATAGTAGAGCTAGATATGTGAATGGAACATATTAGACATTTGAAAACATCATATGATGACTTTTGTCAAATAGACCTTGCAATTTGTAGATACCTATGGGCATAGAAGAGATGTGAACGTTCGATGCTTGGTGTATCTAGGATCTGAGAGGTGTTTTTATTGATTCCTATAGATGGAATTGTGAAGTATTCATTACTTAACGATATTTCACTTGGAGTCATAAGAAGATGCTTGGGGATTGAAATCGTTGCCTCATTTCGATGGACGTGGTGCGACTGATGAGTTCCTTGCAGAACGAAACAGCTGTCTCGACCTTCCATCAGGTGTGGCATCGATTTCAATATTTGTCTAACATTTTTCCCTGGAAGAATAATGGAGGCACCACATCGTACACGTTCACATATCTAGCTCTACTATTAAATTATTTCGGTAAATTTCAATTTTCAAATGAATGTTGTAGTGTTCCTTATATATATATATATATATATATATATATATATATATATATATTCAAAAACATTAGACTATTTCTGCACTCCATTAAGTAATAAATACTTACCCAGAAACTTATTTTAGTCATGACGTTCAATTGGCATTTAAAGCTGAATAATGAATGATATTTTATGAACGCACATTTCTCATTTGAATTGATAGATTAAAGGATACCATTTCGAATTTGGTGTGCGTGTGTGTATTTATGTATATATGGAAAAACCATCATTTTAGTTATTCGAATCATCCATATCAATTAAGTTAATGTTACATCGGAGCTGTCTATATAATTATTATGACGTCTTCATTCTTTTTTCCAAGTAGAATATTCTCGTCGAATATTAGAGAATATCGATAGTGGTGCAATTTTAGATGGCAAAAGTAAGAGTGATTTCAAGTACAGCTCATCAATCATCAGCCATTGACTTTTAATATAAAAATACACTCTAGTTTGTCCAGAAATCTAGTTGTTATAAAATTAATGCCTTTATCAGGACTAGATTTATAGGTCTTTCATTTATACTGTTTGTTCTTAAGTTTATACGTTTGGTAGGCTTTTTTATTACGTCCTTCAGTAACATAATTGAAAAGGAAGGGTAAACTTTAAAATTTTCGACATTAATGACGTATGAACGTTCTGTCAGATCAGAAGAAACTTAATTTTTCATAAAGTTAATGAAGCAAGATCTAAGGAATCCTGCGAAATGTATAGATAAAGCATCAAACAGATGACATTGTCAAAAGTTAAAACAAACTGAAACATTTGACTTGAATTTCAGGAACATCGGAAGAGTTTAACGAACACGTTGTATGGTAAAAATTGAATTTGATTCAATCTTCTGAAAGAACAAAATTTAGTTGTGAATTACACGAACTTTCACTACTCTCG